GAGCCAGGAAAATTCCTTAAAGAGACACAATGCCTACCTTACTGAAAAAAGAGAAAAGACAAGGAGAAGCAAAGCCCAAAAGAAGAGGTAGGTTGGGAAGGAAATATATTAAAATTATTCCAGTGCCACTATTTTACTCATAGAAACACTATATAGAAAGATAGAAGGGAATGGCTAAATTTTTAGTATATTTTCCAGCAAAGATATTTTTCTGAGAAATATCTCCCCAGACTAATTCCTAGCATCCCTGCCAAGCTTCCCTTTTAGGATTGTATCCCTGAATTCAGAGTTATCTGAGTTTGTTATCAATGTTTTTCCCAGTTCTGTGGAAGCAGAGATGTTCCCCTAGTGGCCACAGGAAAGATGAGCCCAATGAGAAAACACACCATTGTTCTTCTCTAAGGCTGGTTGGCTGCCTAAACCAATGTTTAAATGAGAGGCACCACTAATTAAATCTGTATTGTAAAAGCACATGTAATGAATAAGGGTAGAATCCATTGCTGTATTTCTCTCCATTATATTTCCAACTTGCAATTTTCACATGGTAGGTACTTGATATGTTGGATGGATGCATGCATGGTTGGATGGATGGATGGATGGATGGATGAATAAAACAGATGGATAAGGCTACTTTTGCATGGAAAATGTGATCATGCTTCTGTTTTCCTCCTTAGAGCCAGTGGAATAAGATCTTAAACTTTTCTGTAACTTCACTTGAGGACATTGCTACAAAATTTGAAAAGCTAGCAGTCATGTCACTGTCTGATAATTTTCCTGTCACTCTGATAGTGTCCTCAATTATTCCCGCCAATAAATAACACTCTTCTTTAGTTAAGTGTTGGGAGCCGCAGCCCCGAGCCCGGTCGCCTTACTTGGCGGACGTGAGGCCTGTAGGAAAGAGCAAAGCCTGAGCTAGATTACCCCTCCCATCGAGTGTGCTAAGATGGCGCTTATCTCCTGCTTCCTGCTTGGTAAACAACCCGCCCTGTAAGATCTCCTGCTTCCTGCTTGGTAAACAACCCGCCCTGTAAGATCTCCTGCTTCCTGCTTGGTAAACAACCCGCCCTGTAAGATCTCCTGCTTCCTGCTTGGTAAACAACCCGCCCTGTAAGATCTCCTGCTTCACAACCCGCCCTGTAAGATAGTCTGCCTAGCAACAACTGATGTTAGCCAATCAGCCCGCATCGCGCGCTTTGAACTGATTGGCCACTGTAACCCTATAAAAGTAAGTGCCTCTCCCGCCACGAAAAAAGAAGAAGAAGAAGCAGAAGAAGCAGAAGAAGCACGCAAGGAGCCGCGGAGAGCGGACCGGTAGAGGCTTCGGGACAGACTGTAGGGAGAAGCACGCAAGGAGCCGCGGAGAGCGGACCGGTAGAGGCTTCGGGACAGACTGTAGGAAGAAGCACGCAAGGAGCCGCGGGGAGCGGACCAACAGAGGCTTCGGCTGGGAGGATTCCCGGGGCAGGCTGTACGGAGAAGGAAAATAAAAGAAAAGGTTGTCCACTGCCAGACTTTGTTGTGTGTCCTTCCTGCCGGCCGGGAGTGACACCGACAGTTAAGGGCATATAGCTTTGTAAATTATCCTAAATTCTAATGCAATCTGGAGAATTTTTACACAGTTTAATCTTCATAACATATCCTATTTAAGAAAATGCAAACTGAAGTCAAAATTAATTTTTTTTAAATTCTAATATTTCATGGTAATTTTCAAGCAATGTTTTATAATCTCAGTCCTATTCATAACCAATGTAACTCTTATTTGTCTTTTCTTGTATCTTACGTTTAATGTCTAACATCCTAAAGCTATCTCAAAGTTTCTGTCTGTGATTCAAACTGTACATAAAAATTACCCAGAAAACCAAATCTACTAGTCTCTTTTCATTTCTCTCCCTCGCTTTTCTTTCTAGCTCCATTTTTTTCTTCTGTCTTCATTCTATGAGTCAGTGTTGCCCATTTCCAACACAGAGCCCATCCCTGCATCTTGAAATGACCCAGATACTTTTTACAAAAACAAAGAACTGACAGTGCTGGAAATACAGCTCAGTGGTAGAGCACTTACCCAATATACATGATGCCCTGAGTATGATTCCCAGTATTGCAAAGAAACAACAGCATAACAGATTCAATCCCAGCCTACTAAGATTCTGTCTCAAAAGGTTTTTCATTGTATTGTTTTGTTTTTAACTTTTTTAAAGGTCTTGGGATGTAGACCAGTATAAAGGCCTTAGGTTTAATCCCCAATACTAAGAGAGAGAGAGAGACAGACAGACAAACAAACAGACAGAGAGAAAGAGAGAGGTGATAAGCTTAGGGTATCCAGTGAAAGTTGTAACAAAATAATTTGTGATAAAAGGTGAAAAGCTTAATTTGGAAAAAATGTGGTTTCAGAGATTGTGAAAATTAACAATCATGATGTCAAATGGTTGAGGGAATACAGTTATCATATGAACTTCAGAGTAGAAGTGAAATCTGAAATCTGATAAGACTCAACAAATGCACAAGAAATGATGGGCGTACCAGATACACTGATCTGATTGTATATGTGTACGATGGATCATGCTGTAACCCATAAATGTATAAAATAATCATGTTTTAATTCAAATTTAATTCTTTAGAAAGCACATGTTTATACCTGGAAAAGGAGAAATATTATCTTTAAATCTGGAAAAAGATTAGAATGTAACTAACCTATTCATTTTAAGGGTGAAACATTGAGACTGGCCTTGGATTATATTAACTAAACTAATTACATATATAATGTCTACTTAAGGTTGGTTAGTTCTTCTTGAATCATGCAATGTAGTAAACTGGCTCCTCTTGTCTTTTAAATTATTTATTGATAATGTAATAATTTGGCTGATTTATCTTGGAACAGGGACACAGAAACATTCTGAGAGTTTGTGATTTAAAGAGAGAAACAAACAACAGTCTCAGTGGAAATTATGATGGTTGGGTTTGCCAAGAATAAACCTACATTGCCTTCTTTTAAGGTCTTCTTTAAGATTTTTTATCAAAAAGAGTCTTCCAAATTATAACTGAGCTATTTCATTTTAATAAGGATTCCTTCAGTATTTGTAAAATACTGATCTTCATAAGGCAGGAAGTAGAAAGGAAACCCTATCCCAATCAGACCATCAGACTCCATCCATCTAGACATTCACCACTATTCCCTGAAGTAAATCAGAAGTGGCATGGTGGAACATACCTGTAATCCCAGCACTCAAGAGACTGAGGCAGGACAATTGCTGCAAGTTCATTCAAGGCCAGCCTGAGCTACAAAGTGAGTTCAAGGCCAGCCTGAAATATATAGCAAGACTCTCTTTTAAAAAACAAAATAACACAAAACAGAATGGAAAGCACAGCCCACCAACCCATAGCTCAGGCCCTGGACTGATCTGCTCAGGAATCAAAAGTCCCAAGGTTGTAGTTCCTCTGCAATCTACTGCTTACATTGGGAATCAAGTCCGTTTGTCTGGAAAGACTCTTAGGTTCCCAAGCAACAGAGCCATATGGGCTAGAATCAGTTTTCTTGCTGTCCAAGAAGAGCAGGTGATCTTTACAAGTAACCAGAGGCAGCAGGGTGAAGTCCTCCTTCTGGAAAAGGAACAGCTCTCCAGGGTCTCAGGATGTAATGAAAATGCACATTTTTGAAAACCTGTGTGTGAGGATACATTACAGCAGGAGAGCCAAGTGTAGAGACAGAGCTATCACTCACTCCTCAGGGAAGGATGTTGTCTGCAGCTCCCACACAGCGCCTAGCACAGCACTGGCATCCCATAGGCCACTCCCTGAAAGCCTATCAATTTTGCGCATTAGCAAGACAAAGCCTTCAGAGCATGAGAATACCCTTTACTTGCTGCCTTTCTCCATCAGTGATATCAGCCTGACAAAGCACCAGGGCATAGGTCTGGATCAATGTCATGAAACTGGATGAGCAAGTTACAAAGAGGCCAGCTAAAGGAATAGGACTGATGTGGCCATAGGACAGCCCTACCCTGCTGAGCACTGGGGAACATTTTTGCAGATGTGTATCACCAGACACGAAGTGCTTCATTAGTTGGGGGCTGACAATTCAACTCTGTCGGGGAGCTGGCCTAGATCCCTAATGTCCCAAAAGAATGTATGGTGAAGGCTTAAATAAATGAGATAAGTGGTATGATTTTAGGGCCCCAGGAGGATCAAAACCTTCTGCAGAGGTCAAGAGTCTGGGGGCTAGGACAAGGAATGTCTCTGGGCAGCCTGCATTTATTTAGTTTTTCAAACAAGGAAAGGGTTAGAGTAGAAAGCACAGGAAACTGAACAGACATTGGGAGTGGTTTAAAGACTTTTACAAGTAACAGACTGTGTTTACTTTAGGAGGACTATCTTATGTTAATTTAGAAAAAGTATCTCCATGTTGCATTTCATTGCAGGAGTGAAATGTCTGTAGCTATAGTCTTTAATTAATTGGAGTTGGAGCCAGGTGTCCTCAGCTGTGACTTTATCTTGCACTTTAAAGTATCTCTTTGTTCTCAGGTCAGCTGTGCCCCAACCATGCCACAGCCCTGCCCTTCTGTTCAATTTCCAGTTTCAATGGCTCCCAACACAACCCCACTGCAGAGATGTCTACATCGTGACCAGCACTGAAAGTATGGGCTTTTCTCCCCCAAGACCTCTCCTCCATCCAACAGGGCAGCAAACATAACATCATGGTTCTGCCTGTGGATCAAACCCAAAAGGCCCTTGTGCAAGACCAGGAGGTGAGAGCAGGAAAGGAATTAGAAAGGAAACCTGTGCTGTGGCAACTCCCCTTTCTGAGGACTTTTGCCCAGCTCTGGGCCAAACACAGGGTGGCCACAATTTCTGTACCCAGGCAACATCCTGATGTAGCACGGTCAGATGCAGGGGTGAGGGAGAACTGCCCACTCAGAGTAGATAATAGCTGGAAGGAATGAATATTTGGGAAAAGTCCCAGGGCTTGTTTAGTGCCAACCCGTCCCCACCTTTTCCAGCCCCCTCCCACTGGTTCCTCCCCTTGCAGCTCCTCTGGTTCTTATAAAAACTCAGCCTTTCCCCAACAGCCTGTAGGAGCCTCTCCTGACTGCTGCCTGCCAAGACACAAGACCCACCCCTGGGACCCCCAAGCCACCATGAGGAGCCTGCTCCTTCTCACCTGCCTGGCTGCCTTAGCGGTGCTGACTTTGTGCTATGGTGAGAAACCTTTCACTCTGCCCCGTCCCTCGCTCTGGATTTCCCTTTCAACCTCTGGCTTCCATTCCTTCTGCTTTTCCTCTCCCTTCTCCTCCTTTCTCTGCTAGAATCTCAGAGTGGATGAATTTAATTTTTTCCTGGTCTCTGTGGACACGGATCACTTCCATCCAATCTATTCCATGTTCTGAATATCTAGATGTTTGTAAGCAACTAGACAGGCAAGTCCTTGCAATAGTAAATTCCTCTACAACTAGGAACAGCTATTTCGGGATGAAGTCACCAAATTTCCAGCCCTGCACTTTTCATGTTAAGGGTATTTATTTAGACTTTGGTATCTGTGGATTGAAGACACTTGGTGAATCACTTAGTTTTAAGAAAAACTTTTAAGTTTTCATGGGAAGTATTAAGTAGAATTCTTTTTGGGGGACAGGACAATGTCATAAATTACTTCCGTGACTTAATTTTAAAATGAAGTTTTCTTTTAAAGAATTTCAGAAGTTTTGTTTTGAAGCATCTCAGAATGCAATTACACAACTTCTATTGTCAGAAAAATGATTTATGGCTTCTATATTTTGTTAAATCTGTGTTTGTTCAAATTGTGTAAAAGGAAATTTGAAGCTAAATTATTTCCATGGTTCTGCCTTTATACTGCCATTATCTAGACATTTTAGCTGCTTTTAAACCTAAATTACATCAACAACCCTAAAAATTATGTTTGTCACTTTTGAAATTTTTCACAAATTCTCTGTACAAGAAGACCTGACTTTGTCATCTCCTTTCCAACATTTTAAACAAACTAACTTGCTCATATATGTAGGCATCCTAGTCTCAAATGTAACTGCTGTGCTCAGGAGAGCAATAGAAGAAAGAGGTCCTGCTTTGACAGCGTCTCTGTGCTGATCTTGAGACAGTAGTTTCTGTGGCTGCCAATTTAACATGACTCCTTAGCAGGCTTTCAGAACCCTTTTAGCAACCCATCCTGGTACAGCCTGGCCAAGCACTGGAACTCTCCGCCTAAAAAGGCCTACCTGTTTCTGTAACCGCCATGCTTTCTTGACCTTATTCACAAACAGGCCCCAAATAGTTAATAGAAAAAGGCTCCCAGGAGATTTCTGTGCAGGGCTTAACATGTTGGAATGTACTTGTCTGAAGATTGAATAGACTTGGGAAACTTTAGCCAAGATTTGTTACTACCTCCTTCAACATCAGATAAATAAGCACAGAGAAATCTACAGAAAAACTCCTAAGTCTTAAATGTCTGAAATATGCAATAACCCAATTGTTAAACACGTTCTTTCCATCCTTAAATTTAGACTCTAGCATGTTAAAAAAAAAAGAAAAACACGACAACCACCACAAAAACTACATAATCAATCTCTGTTTTTTTTTAATTCCAGAGTCTCACGAAAGCATGGAATCCTATGAAATTAGTAAGTGAATATTTGACTTCCTTACTTCAATCTCTGGCATTGAAGAAGTTTTCCTTATTTTAAAGTAAATAAAGTGGCGAAACATGTAACAGAAAGGGCCTCTTTTTGGAAAACTACGTCAATGTAAATATCGCCAAATGCTCTCTATTTAAAGCTTGGCCCAGTATAATGCGCCATTTAAAATACCTTCAACATACTGAGGAGCCATAAAATCTCACTTGGAAATCTGAAGCTGGCCCCCCACCAGCCTCATAAATGGAAAAGGAGGCACAATCACACGTGGCAAAGACCAGAAAAAGAGGCCAAGTGAGCTGGGAGACCACAGGCGTCAGCACATGGAAAGCTGTGGGACATCTAGATTTACAAAGATTGAGGACAGCTAGAAATAGCATAGCATGCTTGTTGTTAATATGTAGATTATTTCTTGCAGTGTTGAAACTGATCATGTACTAGTAATCTAAATTATGCTTTATAAGTTCTCAAAGCAGAGAGAATTTCTCAAGTAAAGTAAAACAGGCTGAGTAGAAATAACTAAAACTGAGAAAAGTTAAGCCATTACCCAGAGACAAAAACAAACAAACAAAAAAATGATGTGGCCCTAAGATACAGAAATGGGTTATTCAATTTTTTCCACAGGCAAATTTAAAAATCTGCCTTATCTTGCTCTTTGATCTTTGCCTGTCTCTGGTTACATAAAACACAGCAAATTAATGAGCTTTGTGAGAGAGAATACTCACTGAAGTATTTTTAGCTGCTGTTTCCCTAAAATTGTACTTACCTGTTTTCTGTTTTAAGGTCCCTTCATTAACAGAAGAAATGCAAACACCTTCATGACCCCACAGCAGAGATGGCGCGCTGCAGTCCAAGAGAGGTGAGTGACAGAATTTGACATTGGGTTGGTGGGAGGATGGTCTCTCCTAGTGTAGAGCCACAGACCTAAACGGAATGACAACCAGATTTCATCATAGATTGTTTCCAACTGTGTCTTACTATCGGAAAATTTCAAAACAGTGTGCAGAAAGCAATTGAGTATTTAGAAAACTTTTAACGAAAGGCTCAAAAAGCACAGAGGAGGAGAAAGAAAAGGATACAGAAACAAAAATCTGCCTTCCTTAAAAACAAACAAAAAATTGCATCCACCTTCCTTCCCTACCTGTTATTCAAATATCCCTTGATATTGGCAGGAAGGACTGTCTCCAATATTTCCTTTTCCCTTCTTTTTTCTCCATTCTTCTTATGCTTCTCAATGTTGTCCTCTTCTCCACTTTCCAGGATCCGGGAACGTAACAAGCCTACCTACGAGATCAATCGGGAAGCCTGTGATGACTACAAGCTTTGTGAACAGTACGCCATGCTTTATGGATACAACGCAGCCTACAATCGCTATTTCCGGCAGCGCCGAGGAGAAAAGAAATGAGAAAGGAGGGGAAATTCTCTTTTATTCTGGAATCTAAAGCCTGGTTTTGTATCCCCTTGCGACAGCATTACTGAAATATGTAGACACAATACGATGCTTGTTTCTTACATAGTCTCTTGCCTGGGTGCATCCCTGCTTTCTGCTCCCAGATTGTTAAATAATGCAAGTGCAATGTGTTAAGATGTGTGATTATGCATAATAAACTCTTGGTTTGATACTTTCATTTGTGGATGTGATTTCTTCAGGAAAAAGTATGAGACAATTAAATTATGGCCCATCTAACCCAGAACAGAACATTTAGTTAATCTGTGCAGAGTGATTAGAAGCATAACTACATAGAAAGAATGAAATGTAAAAGGTGTTTATCCAGCCATTATTACAAGGATGGTGAACCTTTTAGAACTTTCAGTGATACACACAGCTCATTGCAGCCGGTGTGCCAAGGTTCGCCACCACTGAACCTTCTTTATGTTGAATGACTGTTTGCTTTTATGTATTTCCCAGGATTTTCTCATTATAAACGTGGCAATTATAGAGATTGCTTCATTTGTTTCTCTTCTCTTGCATGCTAAAGTAAAAAATGACTACTGTATGAAGGTAACCTAATAGAAGGTAAAGAACAGTCAAAAGAAAATTTTAAAAAAATAGAACAAATGAAAAACAAATAGCAAGATAATAGATTTAAAACTAACCATATTTATAATTGTCATATTTATATCATAAACCATATAACCATATTTATAATTTATAGTTATAGTACACTTCTTGTACATTTCTTTATTGTGTATACATTCAGATTTTTTAATTTTTAAAAAATTTTTATTTTTATTGCTACATGTCTGTAGTACATAATTAGGAAAATGATTGATGGATTTATGCATAAGGTCACTCATTCCAAAAATGAATGCCCAATCTTTTTTTTTGTTTTTTTTTTTTGAGACAGGATCTTGCTATGTAGTTCAGGCTAGTGTTGAGCTCATTATGTAGCCCACGCCATCTTGGCAACCCTCCTGCCTCAGCCTGCTGAGTGCTGGGATTACAGGTGTGCATCACCAGCTCAGCTGAACATCAATCTTTATCAGGTACCCTTACAACCTCTGAGTGATATAGGGGAAATGCTAGATGTCAGACACACCAAGTTTGTGTTTCCTGAAGTTGAAAAATGAATTCTAAGCAGCAAAAGAGGTTATGAGTAAGAAAATTTTTTGGAGAAAAGGAGGAGTCCCGAATGGATTGCCCCAGATTTTTGTCTTGCTTGAAGAATTTACATTATGTTTCTTGTAGTCCGTGTCTGCTGGATTCTTTATTTTATCCCATTTTATTGATACGTAATACATAATATTTACATTCATTTAGAGATGGTACATATATACCATACTTTATCATTTTAATTCCATTTACCCCTAGAAGTCACCCTCCTCTTTATCCCTAATAACCTTCCCCATCTCGCAAAACTCTGTATTTTACTATTTTCAAATTTTCATGCAAGAGAACCCATGCTGTGTTTAATTTTCCATATCTATTTTATTTTACTTAACCTTATATCTCAAGATCCACCCAGTTTTCTGAATGTGACATGAATTCATTCTTTATGGCTGAAAAATTATTTGGTAGTTTATGTTTTAAAAATACGTTCACTGTACATATCAAATTCTACATAACTAGTTCTTGCTTTCAATTCTTTTGGGATATCACACCACCATCTCCTGGGTTGCTTTGTTTCTGATCTAAAATCTCTGTTTGGCTGGGCGAGGTGGCACACGCCTATGATCCCAACACTCAGAATCAACAGTTGAGGTCAACTTGTTCAACTACATAGTGAGTTCAAGGCCAGCCTACAGTTGAAAGTAGACCCCATCTCAAAAGGACTAAAAAGTAAATAAACAAAGAAATAAATAAAATCTATTGTCATTTGAATCTTTGTTCTTCTGTATTTTACTGTATCTACTGTCTCTGGCTGTTCCGAAGATTTTTCCTTTCATCACTGGTTTTATCAAATTGATTACAAGGTACCTTAGTGTGGCTTTCCTTCTTTTTCTTGTTTTTGAAGTTCACTGAGCTTCTTGGATTGCACTAAGTTTAGTCATTTTCAAGACAATGTTTCTCCAAATATTCTCCATTTCCTACTCCTTCCCTGTTTTGGTGGCTCCAATGATATGCATATTTGCCCAGTTACAGTAATTCCACAACTCCTCAATATTATTTTCACTTTTTAAATTGTTTTCTCTCTGGATTTCATTTTTGACAATTCTCACTACTGTATCATCGGGTTCACTAATCTTTTCTTTGGCAATATCACTCTATAATCAATCTCATCTAGTTATTTTTCATCTCAGACATGCTGCTTTTCATCACTGCATGTTTGATTTGGATGTTTTTCTGTCTTCCTTGTTTCTATTTACCTTTGTTAATCACTTTGCTATGGCTGCTAGAACCATTTTAATGTTCTTATTTTCTGATTCTATCATCTGCATCAACTCTAGATCAGGCTTGATCCTATTATTCTATTTGTATGAATTAAAATGTTCTGTCTCGAAATCCTTTGCCATTTTTTATTTGATTCCAGGCAGTGTATATTTTACCTTTTTGTGCACTGGACATGTTTGTGTTTCTGTAAGTATTCTTGAGTTTTACTCCTAGCTGAATTTAAATTCCTTGGGAAAAGCTTGGTTCTTTTAAATCTTGCTTTTCAAATGGGACCAGAACCATACTTAACCTAGGGATTTCTGCACACTGAGTCAAGGCCCTTCTGAGTACTACACCGAATGTCCCTGCTTGGATGAAAAGGAATAATCCCAGACCTGAGTGTATGCCAGCAGTGTTGTCTCTGCTCTCCCTGTATGATTATTTCACTCTGTGCATGTGACAATCAGTCCCTTCTCTTCCAAGACTTCCACAGATACCCAAAATTGCTTCTCTGCAGTTACTGTCTCCCTAGGTTGCCATACGGACTACAGCCCCATAGCCTCCCAAGATTCTCAATTTCATCTCAACTCAAAAGTCTACTGGACTCTACCTCTGTTCACCTTTCTTTATCCCTGACCTCAAAATTCTGGAGACAAAAACTAAGGCAGAGAACTCCTTGCTTATTTCTCTTCTCATTGAGAGAGCCAATATTCCTTGATTAATATCCAGCATCTTGACAACTATTTTTCCATGTATTGTCCATCTCTTTAGTTGTTTCTGGAGGGAAGGTAAATTCCACCCCTAAAACTCTGTCTTGGATAAAAGTCCATTAAATCAGGCAGAACTCAGTTCCAAACTTTCCCCATAAAATTAATTGGCTTAAATATTTATTGCAATTATACCCACAATTTAAATGCTCACTTTTCTTATCTCTGCTTTACTCAAATCCTCCTATTTTATTCTCCAATAAGCCACATGCATATTCATCTCTGAGTCTTGGAGTTTTCTTGTCAGAAAATTAAATCTCTGACAACACTTCAGGTGGTAAGGAGTTGAGGACCAGCATCTTCTACCTTTAGACCCTTCGTTTTATCATCAGTCAGCATGAGAAGAAGGTCACTACATACTTGTTAAGGGAAAATTTCAAGAGGAAGAGATAATAATCATAAATCCACATGCACCAAATACCAGTGCACTAAACTATATAAAACAAATATTAACAGACATTTAAAACCCAATAAACACTAACACAACTGTAGCAGGGGACCTTAATACTCCACTCTTGCCAATAGATAGATCAACTTAGCAAAAAGTCAACAAAGAAATATTAGAATTAAATCAAGCATGTGAACAAATGGACTTGGTAGATGTCTGCAGAGTATTCTACCCCCAAAATGTCAGAATACACATTCTTCTCAGCTGCACATGGGATGTTCTCCAAAACAGACCACATTCTAGCCCATAAAACATGCTTAAGTAAATGCAGAGGAATTTAAATCATCCCCTGCATACTGTCTGACCATAACACAATGAAAATGAAAATCTGCAGCAAAGAAATCACAAAAAATAAATGAACGCATGGAAATTAAATAATATCCTTCTGAACAACCAATAGATCACAGAATAAATTAAAGACAAAATTAAACAGCATGTACAGTTGAACTTTAACACCAATAAAGCATACTAGAACCTATAGGATACAATGAAAGCAGTCCTATGAGGGAAATTTATAAGAAGAACTCACACATCAAGAAAACAGAATGAGCTCAAATAAACAACCTAATGTTGAATCTCAAACTTCTAGAAATAGATACAGTTTCTGCCATGCCCTCTCTGCCAGTAGGAATCCCTGGACATTGCTGTCCATCTGTAGCAAAACAAATCAGGTCAATATGCCTTCACTGCAACAACTGGTGCTTTTATCCAACATATGTTAAACCCTAAACAACCAAGCGTCATGTAGTGCTGTGTCTCCAATAAAGAGAATGCATGGGCTAAAAACAAAGGTGTGGACCCAGGAGTGGCTGTCCTTACCATTGTGTGCAACCCACATGTGGAATTTTATTTTCTCTTCATATAGGTCTAATTTGTAGATCTGGAGAGTCTGGTTCATTTCCAGAAAACAATTCCACTATGGAACATAAGAAGACTCCACAAGAAGAGTTCCATTTAAGATCTACAAGCTGGTCAGAAACTTCAGGCTCCTCGTGTTAGGAGACCAGCTATAAAATAAAGACATCATCTTCCCAACAGACATGCAATAATTAACATGTTCATCAAAAAAGGTAAAGTTTCTTCTACACAGTGCAATAAGCAGAGAAAATGCATTTGACAACAAAGCAATATGCAGGATCATTTCTTAGTACTTCTCTGCCTAAGGTGATAAAAAATAGGAAAGTCCATCAGCCATGGTCTGAGAAGGACATAGTGACCAAGCACTCACAACAATGCCCAGGGATGGTACTTTTTTCTCCCTTACCAAATTAGGCACCAACACTTCCAAAGAAGCTAACAGTGAGGGAAATTCTAGGATGGGTAATTTTTAGGTGAAAGACAATATGCACTAGCAGTGGCTTTACAACAAGATCCATCAACAGAGGTTGTAGTGTTCCCACTGACCTTCATAAATGCTCTGGCTCACCCCCAAGCATGAACTAGAGAATTCATACAGTTAGAAAAGGGAAGGAAGCCATTACTAAAAGCGGAAAATACACGTCCATAAAACAACCACAGCATCCAGGAAAGCATGACTGGAGCCTCTCTGTGATAATTTTCTTTCATAGAAAAGAGACAAACCTGAATCCTGGAGTCGCTGCT